ACTATTTTTTGCGAATATTCTATGTAACCTTCAATGGGATGGTCCTGACCAAAAGCGTGCCAACTAAAAAGCTCCAATGATTCCTCGGAATTCAAAGTTTCAACTTTATGCACCTTAGTAACTTGATGAGCCTTTAACAATCTTGCATGCCTAGTTGTTATTATGATTTTACTTCCTGGATAAAACTGATCTTTCATCCGAAATACTGCATCTAATTGATCCATATGATCCACATCATCGAGAACAAGGAGAACCTTCTTAGAGCTTATTGCATCTTCAATCTCAGTTAATCCTTCACTAACATTGCTTATTTTCATTTTTTTCCCATTCAAAATATCAGAAAGAAGCTGTGTTTGTAATTGAACTAAGCCATTGGGTTGCTGCGAAACTTCTTTTATGTTTTCAAGGAAGCTCCTTCCTTCAAACCTTCCATAGTTTGAATTATAAACAACCTTTGCAATGGTTGTCTTCCCTATTCCACTCATGCCATAAATTACAAGTAGGCCAACATCATCTGATCCATCTTGTAACCATAAATTCAGTTCGTTTAATCGAGAATGCATTCCGATCATGATGTGGGGAACACTTAGGGGTTTACGCCTTAGTTTTTCTCCTATCACTTGAACAATCTTGTTGATAAATTTTGACTCGTGTCTGAAAAGTTGCAATCCAAATGAAAAAAGAATTCAAACATCCTTGCAATAGCACAATCCGTCAACTAAGTTGATTTTTCCATCAATTTTTGCACATCTTCTCATTTGAAAAACCCAACTTTCAGATTTGTTTGATATTTTTAAAATGAGCTTGGGGTTTCTGAAAAACATTCTTATGGAATTGTGAATTTGTGTTCCATTTTGACTTTCATGGATTAGGCATAAAAACTTTCTTTGGATTTGATCTTGATGCTTCATGCATATTTTGTGGTGCTTCATAACTAAAATCCACGAATGCACACATTTTTTTATAATCGACTTGTACCTCCTATGTTCAAATTTGAGCTCCCATTTTTCTAATTTGTACCTCCTAAAAACATTTATTGGAAATTTCAGAAATATTATAATTAACACACCCTGATAGAGAAAAATCATATAAATCTCCATTAATAACCCGTCGGAAGGAATTATATTTAGTTTTAGGAGTGAGTTTGCAAAAGAAAGACAAAGACTGTAATAAAAGAAGTGGTAGGAAAGAGATTACCCATCAGCTTGATTTTGTAAGACCATCCCTGCCAGATCTGCAACCTCTTTAAGTGCCTTCCGCCATTCCTTCACTTTGCTCGACGGTTGGGTTTTTTGGTGTCTAGCAAATGCCTTTGCAAGACTTCCTGTCTGCTTCCGCACATCGGATGGATCCACGTCGTAGAAGACAGGTAAAACGACATGGTCAGCTGAGAGCCGTTCAAGGATCATGACGAGCTCGTCAAGGCACCATCTGGACGATGCGTAGTTTTTTGAGAACACAATAACAGACGTTCGTGAGTGTTTGATTGCTTTCTGCAGTTCGGGCTTGATACCTTCTCCTCTCTCGACTTCGTCGTCGTCTCGGAAAGTGCGAAATCCAGCGTTGACAAGGGCCGTGTAGAGGTGGTCAGTGAAAGTCTTACGAGTGTCTTGGCCTCTGAAACTCAGGAACACGTGATAACGACAATATCGAGAAGTACTGGAAACAGAGGAGGTTTGTGAATCGGCTGCTCTCACAAGTGCCATGGATGAGGTGCTGTGAACAAGTAATCTGCCTTGATGGATTGTATAAACAAGCAGCTTGTGAATGACCAAATGAAAGGATCATCCATCCATTGACTTAAAATTCAATTATTTTGAGTCAAGCAAATGAAATCATTTCTTTGTTTAAGATAAAAAAGGGAGAAAGTAACAAAAGCAATCCAACTAGTGGGAGCTTTATTTGTGTCTTCGAATACATGCACTTAAAAAGCAAGCACGTGAAATCAAGATAACTTTTTTCTAAAAGGTGCACTAATATCGAGTGAGTCAAGGGGGCAGGCAGAGGTTTTTCGCTCTTTTAAGATAAACAAAGCCAACTGGTGGGGACAGTTGTTGTCCTTTCTTAATGACTCTTTCTTTGTTTTCCCAAATAAAAGAGAAAAATAACACAATAGGACTTTATGCATTCACTAATATCGGTTTTGATTGGATACTCCTTATATTCCTTATGCAATAAAATTGTATTATAACAATTAGGTGGTATGTTGCCTAAACATTTACCTCATGAAAAAAGTTGATCACTCAAGGGACTAGGCAATGCAAGTGTATAAACTATTACTATATTATTTACTTTATCTTTTACACTAGCAAAGGTGCCCACGCGATGCTGCGGGTTTTAAAACCATGTGAATTGTATACAAAATCATGAAAAAATATATGAAAGATAGTACTATTTATATACACATGGAGATCTAAATAGTGGCATCATGCTTTATTTGGCAAGTTTATGTTACAAAAAATAGACTAATAACATGTTTTATATGCTGCTTGTCATGTTAAAATATTGACCAATTTTAATAAACCAAGCAGCAATCAAAACATTGAAATATTATCAAAATATCAGCAGTTTTAGAATGTTCATTGTTCAAAAGAGTTTGGACCGGTCTTTATATATATATATGCTACTGGGTGGTGGAAGGGGATTTTCTGCCTTGATGTCTGTTGGAATGGGATCTTTCTCTTGATGGCTTTGCTATAGAGGTGGCTTCTGTTCTTTCTTGTCCTTTGCAGGGGTTTTAACTCTATTGGTACAAATTTGGAAAATGGCAAGTGTTAGTGTAGATAAATGGAAAAATTTGAGCGAATACCAACTATCACCACAAAATTAAGTTAAAAAATCCAACAGGACAAACAACAGTTTAGGTACATCAACCATTCTATTAATCTGATGGACAAAAGTATAACTCCTGTCTATTTAATCAATTGATAACAAACTTAGAACAATTGTGACAATTTATTAAATAGGTATGAGAGAATTAAGCCAAAACACTCTAGCTTTAATAGCATCAAATCAATGGGTGTTTATTATGTTGCTACAAATTTGGAAACTGGTAAGTGTTAGTGGAGACAAATGGGAAAATTCAGTGAAGACAGTGGCTATTGTTACAGAATTAAGGCCAAGAAATCAACTGCACAAACCACAATTTAAATACGCCAAGCATTCTACGAATGTGGTGGACAAAAGTATAATCCGTCATTGCCACAAATTATTAAATACCTATAACAAAATGAAACCAAAAGACCCAGACTTTAATAGAATCAAACCAAATACCCATAACAGAATCAACCCATGTGCAAGTTTGTTGCACAAAAGAATAGATTATCCATAGACACCTATGGTCAAAACTGATACATGTATTGTCATTTATAGGCTATGTTAATCTAAAGGAGAAGTAAGCTATAAAAGCAGAAATAACCTAAAACACCTAAAGGTTATAGAACCCTAATCAACTTACTGATAGCATCAAGGGAAGCCAAGAAGACCTGTCCGGGAACCATGGCAAAGAATGCATTCCCTCCTTGGGATTTAACCAAAAGTCCTATCACTGATTAAATCGTAATTTCAACCCCATCAAGCATAGATTTGCTAAGCTTTGATGCCATCTTTGACAACTACTCTCACTGAATTAGCAAAATAAAGTTGAAAGAACTGATAAGAAAAAATAAATTTAATGTGTTATAACCATAAAAAACTTAAAAGAAATTCAGAGTCTTCAGGGGGAACCTTTCAAATTGATTCAATATGAAATCTAACATAAAAAATCATAAAATAAACCTAACCTCCAACATAAAATACCCATTTCATATGAGATTTCCTTCCCTGTTTCTGCTTCATGTCACCTATATACCAAAGAAAAGATATCAAGAGAAATATCATTTTAAGCACAGCTATGAAGGAAGAAACACATTCATTGTCCACATCTCAATTCATCATAAGGTATAAAAATAAACCATAACTAATCCTAAAATTAAGGATTTAAAGTAACAAATTTACAATAAAGATTTTAAAAAAAAGTTAAAACTTAAAATTGAACCAAGTGAAAGCAGAGAAAACTACCAAAGGCTAAGGTGGAGCATAAAGCATTTAAGTTTTTGAGAGGAATGTGCAGAGAAATAGGGTGTAGAAGAAGCTGTGGGTATGCTGATAGGTTTTCATAATACTCCCAAAGAAAAAATTAGCCAAAATACAGACGCAAAAAAGAATCTTAATCAATTCCAGATAATAGAGGTAGCGTTCTTAAAAAGAGAGAAGAATTAAAATTCGGAATTAGAATTCAGATAATGGAGGCAGTGTTCAAACTTTGAACATCTCTACAAAAAAAAAGGTTTGCAATTTCGCAAACACATGTGAGAGCCCAAAATTCATCGAAATGAAACACTAAAGCCAAGAGGAGCCTTTATTCAGCATAGTGGAGGCTTCAATTTTGAAGAAAAAGAAAACAGAAAAAAAGAAAAGAAAACATACATCTCCAAATCAGCCGGTCATTTCCAGGGGATGCCTCTGACGCAGCCTCCTTCACATTTGCCACCAAAGCCAAACATCAAATACAAAATACGATTCAAATGATCGAAACAAAATTAGAAAAAAGCGAAATAAATGTGATAAAAGAGTGGGTCAAAGGCAGAGACCTTTGGCAACAAATTGGATTAAGCCAGGAGGAGAGTTGAAGAGGAACCACTACCCCACCGCAAAACAACATTGAATACATTAGACACTGACAAATAATCAAAATGGGTACAAATTTATTAATTAGAAAAAATAGAGTATAAAAGGCAGAGAGAACAAACCTCATTAATGGCAAGCACTTGGCCATTGCTCTTCTTGACCTTCTTCAGCTTCCTCAGGAAATACCTAATCCAAACAAATCAATCAACAATATTAAGTTTAACCCCAAAATTCACCAATGAACATTTGGCATCACAAAAGCCAAGCTAAGGCTAAGCATTATACCAGAACTTGGACTTGGCGCGAACCTCATTGGTGGCCCAGAGCTTCATTCAGTAAATCTCGGGGTGCTCATTAGATGCCGTAGGGAGCTTCCTCCCAACAACCTGGTACTGGTGGAACTGCAACACAAAAAAGACACCGTTAATTGCAGCTTTACCATTTGACACGCCCTAAGAGAAATATATCACACAAAAACAAATACCGAATTAAATGGAACCTAAGAAACTGTGAAGATAATTTCTAAACATTTGTTTACCAAATTTCATACAACAATCCTCCACTTAAACTGACTGTTTACAACAATACTAAGAATTTGTATGCATATTACATATGCAATGTTTGGCTAAATCCACTTCACCAGTACATTACCAACCTTTTTGTGGCACATTACATATATTTAACTAAATAAACTATGTCTGAAACCAAATGGGTATTCTTCAAGAACAAAACCAACCTTCTTGAAGCATACCCATCTAAGTTATAATATGCAGTGGAAAAGAGAATAAAAAGAACCCCCTAGCATCCCAGTACCCTAACATGTAAAAAAAAGTGCATAATTTAGAATTCAATAACAGAAATTGTCTCATTAAATTAAACAGAAATAAAAAAACAGTGAATTTAAGGCTGAGATGTAATCGACTTATTGAAAAAAAAATTGAGGATGAGAGAAGGATTGACAAACCTCTTTGCTAGTCCAAGTGCAGAACCCTACTTCGTTTTTTCTTGTAGCACCTTCAAAGTCAGTCAACATTCTGTGTTGTTCTACAAAAGATATTTACGAACACAGAATGTCATCAAAAACCCTTATTGTAAATTTCTTCAACACAAAAAATCCAGAACCAAAATATTTGACAAAATTCTATTAAAAGAAAAAAAAACTGAAATTAAAGAGAGGGAGAGAGAACATTGTATACCGTAACTTCTGTACACATACACTGGCTCTGTCTCACAACATCAGCAAGGGCAATGGCAAGCCTTTATTCACGCACAAACAGTCCCCCGCCATTACCAATTCAAAAGCATGATCAATCCCACCACAGGGGAGAAATACAATCAAAATTACTAAAAGGGAAAGAAATTGAAATACAGTGGAGGCGATTAAAAGATGCAAACCTTGTTTCTATTTCAAAGTCCACAAATAGATGTAGTTGCACCATTTTGTTATAGTCCTGCAACGCACACAGTCATCAGCTTCACCCAAGCAACTCTGTGTGCCAATTCAAATCCACCATGAACCAATCCATAAGCTCAAATATAGAACCCAATCATATGATAAACCACAAAACAAAAGGCTTAATTTTGGTCCAAAAGGGCAATTCAAGGGTATGGTTCTTACCTGAAATGCTTTGGTGAGGTTGCAAAATCACCTTTTTCCTCATGCTCAAACCCTTCAACAACCAAAAACAATGAAAGGAAATTTTCATTGTAATTCCAAGCACATGCAAGAAAGAAGAAAGGCACCAAATTTTCAATCCAACATAATTATAGAACAAAGACTCCAACTTTTGCATTTATGTCCTTGAGTTTCCACAGAAACCCAAGTGATTTCAATAAAAAGTACTAATGTTATTAAGTGGGTGACCTCAAACGCTTTTATAAGCATAATTATTGAACTCCTACCCACAAAACAACAGTAAAATGTTTAAAAAGATGAAATTTTCTGTTTTTTTCTTGCATTTTCTTAGCAAACAAACAGAGGGGAAGTAGGTTTCTACATATTTTATAGAGTGTTAAACCAGATTTTTTGTTTGAATGATCTTATATTGAACCAACCATCTTTACCTTCCAGCTGAGAGACTGGTCGATTTGTTCAGAATATCAACTCCCAATCATATTTCCTTTTAGATGCATACAGATATTAAGCTCCTAGGGTTCATTATCCACATGCTCAAGTAGAGAGAGAGAGAGAGAGAGAGAGAGATCTTGCCTGCTTAATAATTTTTTGTTTGAAATCCTTGGAGAGACCGTTGGTCCCAGGCGATTGATCATGTCATCGTCGGATGGCTGTCATTGAATCAATGGGTGAGGCATCAGAACCGTCGGTCGAAAGACTACCTACAAAACATCAAAAGAAGACGCGATTAAAAAGAAGAAGAGAAAAAGAAAGACATATCTGAAAAATTGAAGAAGGAAACCCAACAAATACCAGCACAGGCACAAACGAAGGAAAGAGGAAGAAGACGATATGAGACAAACAGGGGAACAAATAAAAAGAAGGTTATCTGATGAAGAAGAGGACCAAATGGACGAACCAATTCGCACCATAGCAGCCACAAACGAAATCAATGGCAGAAAGAAAGCCAGATCAAGCTTCAACAGTGAAGCTCTCATGGGAGAAAGAGCCAATCAAAAAATATCTCCCATCCGCCAACAATTCCAACGAAAGGCAAAACCAGATGGTTGGACTTTTCTCATCATAGAGTTTTCCCTCCCTCTGCTACGCCAACGAAGTCGAGCAACTGATTGGGAACTTCAGTTCCCACGAAGAGAAAAGAACAAGGCTGGAGGGCAAAACGGCCAATTCACTGTTCAAAAGTCAGCTCAAGGAAGCAGACCATCTCTTAAGCGGGGGCAAAACCGTCACTTCACTATTCCTAAGCTACAGTCTAGGAACAGTGAATTCGGGGATTCAGTTTTAGTATATACATAATTTATCTCAACCAATTGTTAATTGATGCCATTAGCTAATTACTATGCTCTATTCACAGAACTGAAAACAATAAATTGAAATTTCAACATAGAAACGCACCTCTTGCTTAACAGAACCAAAAACAATCACCAAACAGCTCTATCTAAAGCAGCAAAACAACACCTACAAAACATCAAAACAAAACAAGATTAAGAAAGAAGATAAAAAGCAAGAAAAAATCGAAAGAATTGCAGTTTATGATTTTCTAGTCCCAAAACTGTCCAAATATGTTTTTCTTCGCAGTGTTTTTATATGAGATGCCTGAACTTTGTTAGTCCACTTCTAAAACAAAAGAAAAATCCTGGAAAACAAAAACAAACAGGGATAGAAGAAAACAGAATATCAGGCATCATCAAAATCCAAAGCAAAAATCAGAGTCAAACTTCGACCAACAGATCAATAGTTGGGAAGGGAAAAAACATTCATGAATTAAACTATTATTTCTTAATTACATCTATAGTCTAATGAAGCAAAATGGACACAAACCAACAATAGCACAACTATAGAAATGAGAATTTTCAAACATCACAATATCCAAAAACTAATTAAACAGAGCTTCTATAGCCTAACCAAGCAAAACAGATGTAATGAATAACATTAAATGACTGTGTGACTCCATTATACCACAAACAAAAATTAGTGCAACCCCAACTCCTCTTACATCTCCAAACCTCAGACAAAGAAGCTCTCTGCATGGTCAAATTTTATCTCCATTGAAATGTGTTTTGTTTTTTGCCAATTTGTTCCAGATAATAGAGGTAGTGTTCAAGCTTAGAAAGAGAGACGAATTAAAATTCAGAATTAGAACTCAAATATTGGAGGTAGTGTTCAAACTTTGAACATCTCTAACATGACATCACCAAATCAGTAAATATTACATAAAATTAGTATAAAAAAACATGAACAGAAAAACAATAAATAAAATAAGAAAGCAAATATTAACAACAATAGATCATTACACAATTTGTGTAATTAGTGCCACATGTGCTACATCTTTAACAATGTTTTGATATGTAACAACCTTAAAAAAAAAAAAAAAAAAAAAAAAAAAAAAAAAAAAAAAAAAAAAATCTCATATTTAAAAATTGATGATCTTTTCCCACTTTAAAGGTATTTCCCACTATGAATTGAAAACAGAAAAAAAAATATATATATATATATTATTAAGAAAAAGTTCTTTCACTAACTGTATTGCAATACATAACACAACAATTTCTTTTGTTTCTATATAATATCCTAATTTCCTTTTTTTCCATGGAAAATTGGCATTTTTCAGATAAGGAAAAGCCAGAGAACAATTTCATTAAGTAGAGTCTCAATTGCATTGCAATGGACACTTGTTTTTTTATTTTATTTTTCAGGTTTAATCCAAAAGAAACAAAAAGGAGGGGAAATATTATGCAGATAAGATTCAAGTCTCTGACTGACATATAAAAAAAAACACATACTGAAAAGCATTATCCTGAACTAAAAGCTTTCAATTCCCATATCAATATCAAATTCCAAAAAGTCCAACTTCTAAAAACAAAATACATAAAAACCAACCCATGAATCAAAACAGCATAAAAAACAACCCAAAAAAACAGAGAAAATTGCACCAAGATCCATGATCCATCTATTTATAATTACCGTCACTCTATATATTAGCTTGCTTTCAGAGCCTTCAACTGTCGAATGAACATCAAACCACTAAAAGAAAGAAAGTCTCTTGACAAAAAATCTCCCAGCCAACAAATTCTTCATATGGAAGAAATACTTGGGAATGGAAGGTATAGTGCTACCACCCTTCTCTTTCTTTTTCTCTTTCTCACTCACACAAACACATATATTCTAGTGTTCCAAACAACCAATGCTCTAATAATAAGAATGAAACAGGGAGCACAGAAGGCTGTATGAGTGATACTATAAGTAAAGAAAGAGCTGAAGCTGCGAAGAATGATGCATAACTACCACTCTTCAATTTAAAAAGAGTTTTAGGTGCAACAAACAACTTCAATGTAGCGAATAAACTGGGAGAGGGAGGATTTGGCCCTGTTTATAAGGTGACACTTTCTAAACTACTTGATAAATACTAATGTACAGTTTATCTAATATATGCTAACTTGGACAGGCCAAAGACATGACAGATTTAGGTTCCTTGAAGGAGGCGGCAAAAATCTTCATTCCAGGTATATTGTAGCATGATTTCTGTTTTCTCAGCCTCTCTAATTCTATAAACCAAAAACTTCAATATATAACTTTAATTTTCTGTAAGCGTTGATCTAGATTTACATTCCCTTTGTCCTGACAACTCAATCGAACATCTCAATCAAAAGTCACCCTAAACAATCAAAATCACAAAACCACTCTCTCACTCAGGATTGAATCGTTGCACAGACTGTGATCTACATAAGCCTGCGGCAATCCTAATATCTAGGATATTATGTTCAATTGTAATTTTAAAGGACAAACCATACACATTCAAGCAAGAACTCTACAGCATGCCTGCTCAATCAGGCCATACAATTTTCAGAACTTATGTACCAAGCATATCGAACTGACAAAGTAAACCATATGTTTCCCTAGACACCATATGCTTGAGAGTCAATCTAGATAAATGGGTTTTAAAACATGAAGTATTTCAAGAAGATAAAAGGAAACCTTTCTTTCTAGTTGAACATAGGGAATTTAGGATAGAATTTAAGAACCTGTGACATATACAGAAAAGCTTCGCAGTCAAGAACTATATTTTTCATATACAGAAACCAAAGTTTAAGCCACATAGCTATGTCTCAGAGCATACGGTGAAAAAATTGACACGAGCAGAACTCAGAGAGTACACAAAGAAGGGAAGATGGCACTTTATCAGTATGGTTGCTGGTTAATCATTCCCAATTTCTATTTTGTCGAAACCAGATTAATCTTCACTTCTTTTTTCCTTGTGTTTTATCATTAATTTTTTTCTCCATATTTAGGATACAGCAACCAAAAGCAGATAAAAAAATGATTTTTTTTTATTATTTAAAAGCACGCTTGGTCTTTTGCTTTCAGTGTTTTATCGGCAACCAAAACAGAAATTGGGAATGATTTCCATTTCTAAGATTTCTCCAAGAGAGCAAAGTCATTGAATCGACAATTGATTAAAAAAATTAATAATAAGAACGATGGAAATACCTGAGCTAATCTGTGAGATTCAATCCCCTTCCTGATAGAACCCAATATGTTGTGAAATATAAATACCTCAGCTCCTCTTATATAGCATTAGGGATTACCCAAGAACCTGAAATCAAATTAACCAAATAAATGAACCCAAATTCGTAAAAAATAAATCAAAAATACCCTAAAGATAGAACATGGCTCACACCCACGCAAGGACAAAAAATCTCCCAGCCAACAACAAATTCATGAAATGAAGACCAAAAGATTTGTTAAAAAGTTGACGGGATGCATACCTGAAGACAAAGATGCAAAAACTCGCAAGCAAGAAAGATGGAAGACGTCTGAGTCGAAGGCTGTAGAAACGATGAGAAATCTCCCAACCACAAATCTGTGAGACGAAGACTAAAAGTGCGGCTGGATTTGCAGGGCACCTCCCAAACGAAAATCGACGGCCCCCCCACGCATGTCTAACAATGAATGCAGATCTTCCATGGCTGCCCCCCAAACCAGCTGGTTCGAAATGGACTGAAAATGGACGCTTCTCTGAGCGAACGAAACGTTCGCAGCGGAGGGGAAGGGGCAAAAAGGGAACATAAGAAGATGGTTAGTTGAGGGCAGTTTCGTCAATTTACTGTTATGAAGAGAAAACAAAACAAAAAACAACAGTAAAATGAGGGGCATTTCCGTCATTATACTGTGCTTTGGAACAGTATTTAGTTGGATTGAGCTTTAGTATATATATAATTTACTATTATATTTTATAAAAAGTAGGTGAGAGAGTGGAGATGATATTTTATTATAAACATGAAGTGAGATCCAATATATACATATTTACTTTGAAGTAGGCAATATTGAAAGTATATATATTTTACTTCCCCGTTTGCCTCTTTCTTCGGAGCATGAAAATGCTGATGTAGCAACGCCAATGAAGTTTGCCTACTCTTTTGCCTCTTCCTTTTGAGATGCTTGGAAGAAAATGAATTTTTTTTTATATAACTAAATTGAAGACAGAAGATAAATTACTTATAAATAAAACTTGTAAGTAATTCCACTTAATCCCTCAACATGGAAGATTATTCACCGCACCTTCATTTTTCTCCTTCGATAGATTTATCGAATACTACTCACCAAACATAAGATTCTGTCGTCAATTGGGTTTGCCTCAGACACCCACCCCCTCCACACCAAACAACTGCCCAAAAAATAAAAAACATAAGATTCTGTCTTTCATAAAAATATGGCCATTTTAAAACTGACAATAATTTGGTGTCTCTATCTAGCAAGCACACATGTACTGTCAGTAATTTGGTGTCTCTACCATCACAACATCACTGTTGGAGACGAATAATAATAAAAAAGACTGAATATAATATTGCTCAGAAGTGTTATATATGGACTATGTTGAGAATTAAGCTACTTACTCAGCTCAATACAAACTACAGATGAAAATCCTGCAGATTAATGTTGAGAAGAATGAAGGAATGAAGAACTTTCCACCTTGGGAAAGAGCCGTTAGCTACTCTATTCTATTTTGGGATAATTCCCACAGCTGTCTTTTTTGTCTTTTTAGGCTGTACTATGATAACAGATTCTAGCCTAGGTGTAAGAATCGTAGCCTCCAATGATCATGTATGGTAGGAGATGAGTCCTTGTATTCTAAAATTTAGGATCCTAGTTTTTGGCAGTATATGTCATGTATATGAGCATGCTTTTGTTAAGTTTTCAATATACAGAAATATTGAACATTCTCATTCTCTCTGAGTTTTTTCCTTCCTCTACATAAACGTTTTTATACCAAAATCAACAAACTATCCTCATACTCATATGCTCATAAGTTAACCAATAAGAGTGGATCATTACATGTAAAAAGGAAAAATCGATTGAATAAATTGGGTTGGTTAACTTATGAGCTAATGCAAATCCGGCGTTGACCAAAGCTGTGTAGAGGTGGTTAGTGAAAGTGTTGCGAGTGTCTTCACCTCTAAAACTCAGAAACGAGTACATGATAATGTTCACTTTCTTTATTTTCCCAAATAAAGGAGAAAAATAGAATACAATTCCATAAGGTTTTTTCTTTCTATCATGATAGTCCTCCAAATTAACACCCAACATCAATTTGGGCCATACTATTTGATTTTACAAAAAATCTGTTAGATTCCTGACATGGCACACCACCACCGCATGGACTGAATATATATATATATATATATATTGAAAAGCCATTTTAAAAAAAAATGGGGGGTGCTTCTTGTTCTTTAAATTCTAATGATCAAAGTTAGATTATCATGTAAGGGACAATCCACTGGAAAAAAGAAAAATCAAACTTGATGCATCATTGCAAATCATATCAATCAATTGCTCAAGATATGCAAGATGTCCAAGTCAAGACAAAGGAGGCCAACCATTATTTCAGTCCAGTGGGAAGCTCACGTGGTTCACTCTCCAGGAGACAAGACACCCATACACCTACCGTTCGGTAAGACATGGTTGAGCTAGGTAACGTGCCCAGACCTCCTGCTGATTGGCAATTCAATACATTATGCCTCACAGCTGATGACAGCCCTTGTCATGGCTCCAAAACCTTCTGAACTTGCTGGAGTTGATTCATCTTCAGCTCACTCCGTCAAAGCCCCTTTCACTTGTCTTACCATTCGGCAAATCAAGATAATTGAGCCAACAGACTCCATGCTCAGCAATTGCTCCAATCTTTCGAAGCAGTTGAGCACATGCGTCTGCAAAGGCACCAAGTAAATAACCCCTGCGTCAAAGCTATGCAGGGGGACTTGTCCCACTAATGGCGAATCAAACTACCGTCGGCACCGCAAATTACAGCCTTACTGGGCTACCTCTCATCTCTGCTAAAATTTCTCAAGTGGACCTACCAAGAGTGCCGAATTCAAGTTTTCAATAATCCAAGGCTACAGATCGAGAAAAAGGAGAAACGACATCGGTACAAAGCTCATCAAGTGAAAGGCCGAAAGCATAGCTCCACTGCTTCCACAACGGATACCGTTCGGGAGCTGGTCTTCCCCATCATGAGCTACGCTCTCGACACCCGTCATCCTATCGTTCGGGAAGTCGATGACCGAGCTTGCAAGAGCCCCCAAATCACCTATATCAAATTTGCTATTCACTTACCATTCGATAGGAAAGCAAAGCGCGACATGCCCCGTGGCAAGCCACGATCAAGCTGTCAGCCTCCCACCATGGTTTCCGATCAGCAACCTCGGATAGTCATAAGCTAGAGGAGCTACTTCTCATCGGAATATTAACCTACCGTTCGGTAGGAAATAGCTTCCTTTCGCAGAAGCATCACAAAGCCCACTCTCAGCCCCCAAGTGCTTTAACAAACGGTACCTCATGTGGCTCCGAGTGCAGACCAACCTTTATTGGTCTCTAAAATCAATATTGCCAAACGGCACCCTGCAGCCTTTGTGTGACCTCTTCTCCATCTCACCTTTACCGTTCGGCAGGTCCAGACAATTGGGCCAAGAGGCACGGACAAACCACTACCAAACAATAATCCTTCTTACAGAAGTATCACCCTGGTGGAATTATAAGAAGACATGGATGGCTCTATAAAAATATGCAAGCCTCACTATGCCGAACGGCACCCCAACATTCTCAAAATTGGAGGGCCCCATCGGTAGCCAAAATACCCACGGCCGAATTATGGGCTTCATTACTCAAAGCCATATTGAGTTAATAAGCCCAGCCACCTCTCAAAATCAAAAAGGGCACATGAATGGTTTCATCCAAAGCAAGCACTACATGCCTTATTAAAGTCTTCGGCAGTAACTACTAATCTAGTGGAGGCCCACTTGTGGCACTTGGCATTCATGCACCCGAGATTATTAGCCATCGGCAATAATTATTGGAGAAGATCATCGGCATATACGCCAAAAGAAAAACCCAAGATTATTAGCCATCGGCAACAAATATTGGTAAGCTTGCTTTACAAGTTTTTGTTATTCGGCGTGAGCGATGCCTTCGGCACCCCCGTCATTATTCGGCGTGAGCGATGCCTTCGACACCCCGCCATCATTGGACGAGAGCGATGCCTTCGGCACCCCGTCATCATTCGGCGTGAGCGATGCCTTCGGCACCCCGCCATCATTGGACGAGAGAAATGCCTTCAGCACTCCGTCATCATTTGGCGTGAGCGATGCCTTCGGTACCTCGTCATGATTTGACAAGAGCGATACCTTTGGCACCCTATCTTCATTAGACGAGAGCGATGCCTTCGGCACCCGTCATCATTTGACAAGATGGTGCCTTCGGCACCCCTATCATGATTTGACAAAAGCAACGCCTTCGGCACCCTGTCATCATCCAACGAGAGCGACGCCTTCGGCATCCCGTCATCGCCTTTGGCACCCAGTCATAGCCTTCGGCACCTCGTCATCAATCGGCACCATCGACACTACACTACTTGGAAGAAGACTAAGGTGTTGCTCGGTCAATGCACTGAAAATTGCAAGTCCTCAACCAAGGAGTACCTCCTTGCTTAAGAACTTGGGGGACTTCTGTTTATACCATATTTGACTAAGCAACTAGAAGCAACTCTAGGCAAAGCAAAGAGTCCCACATTGGAATATTACAAGAAGTGAATGCTCCCCCTCACCTATAAAAGGAGACCACTCTCCCCTTAGAAAAGGATCCCTTGGGCTGGGCTTGATCTTTAGTCATGACCTTCCCCTTTCTTACATTTAAGTTTGGGCCCCAACCCCATGTACAAATGTAAATACACAATATTATAATAATGAGAATATACTTCTCCGTGGACGTAACCTATTTATTAAGGGTGAACCACGTATGTCTTGTCTTCTGTATATTTATCGCTTGCTCAAATCCTCACACACTTGGTGATGGTCCGCACCTTCACCCATCATACCTCATCACTAAGTTGGCCTCAAAAGTGCCGAACCATTTTTGAGCGTTGACATGAGAAGATAGTAAATCTCATGGCTCCGGATCCTATGGCCCTTCCAAGTCCAACTAAAATCGTGGAATAAGTGCCTCTTCTTCAAAATCTTCTGAAATGAAATATATCAACAGAGCAGATGCAGATGCTAATTTCACAATAAAAATATCTCCGAAGTAGATGCATTTAATGCTACGAAATGACATTGAATGTATGCAAAAACAAGCAGGGACGGACCCAGGAATATGAACTCGTAGGGTCATAGTGTAAAAATTCAAAATTTTTTTTAAAGATTAAAATAACATTGAAAATGAAATAATAGTACATTCATTCATAATTCATGTTAAAAACAACATTACAAATTACAATTGGCCACAACGAGGTTTCATATTTTGAAAATGTAGCATTATAGCTTCATTTTCAATACAATCAAAAACATGCCAAACAAATAAGCAACTTAGTGTTTACCCCATTAAAACGAGCATCTAACTCCGTAAGTTGCTCATCAATAACATAAATAAAGAGCTTCACACGATAATGATGACGAAAACGGTTCACTGATCATGTAGGCGAAAACGGTACATTAATCAAAGCCCTAGAACTAAAGTAATGAACTTCAGAAGATTTTGAAGAAATTTTCTACTTGGAGCTGCAGAACCATTCAAAGGAGAAGGAGAAGAAGAACCCCCCCCCCCCCAGCAGACTCTTAAGGAGTTATCCACCGCTTCTCACATTGTTTTATTGTTTTTGAAGCGGCCCAATCACAAAGCACCACATGTTTACTTGTTTTTTCCTTTATTTATTCATTTATACAAACTTGTTAACTTGTCCTTAACTCAAGAGCGAAGATTGGTTGAGCAAGTTATAAGTAAGCAACGGGATTATAACAAGAACATGAAAGCAGCTTAGCAGGAGGTATTTGATTGGTACTTGGTAGTGCATCTTAGGAGTCGTTATTGATCAGTTATTTATTTGAAGCAGGTAGATTGCTACTTGGCTGGCAATGGTGGTGGTAATTTTTAAGGAAAATTAGGTATTAGACATTATTAAGTTTACTAATTAGTAATTTTTTTTTTTTTTTTTTTTTTTTTTTTTTTTTTTTTTTTTTTTTTTTTTTTTTTTTTTTTTTTTTTTTTTTTTTTTTTTTTTTTTTTTTTTTTTTTTTTTTTTTTTTTTTTTTTTTTTTTTTTTTTTTTTTTTTTTTTTAAGGGGGGGGGTTTTTTTTTTGGGGGGGGTTTTTTTTTTTTTTTTTTTTTTTTTTTTTTTGGGGGGGGGGTTTTTTTTTTTTTTTTTTTTTTTTTTTTTTTTTTTTTTTTTTTTTTTTTTTTTTTTTGGGGGGGGGGGGGTTTTTTTTTTTTTTTTTTTGGGGGGGGGGGGGGGGGGGGGGGGGGGTTTTTTTTTTTTTTTTTTTTTTTTTTTTTTTTTTTTTTTATAGTGAGATATTAGGTATTTTAGTTTGGGTTTTAATACTTAAAAAAAAATAGCTATTTTAGATTAGGCCAAAGGCTGGCCCAGATTCGTTGGGCCAGCTTAAAAATAACAAATAAAAAGACAATTCTACCCTTTTCTCTTAAAAAAGCCTGGCCCATCTGTAAACCTACAAATTAAATTACGCTTTTGCCTCTGAACGTTTAAACGACGCGCGAGTTTCTTCTTCGTTCGTTTTCGTTCGTTTTCTTCTTCGTTTCAGAGCTGGGTTCTGCCATTGGAGCTCAATTTTCTGGTAGGTTTTGCTTTTATTTTCTTCGTTTTTCTGTCTTCTTTTTTCTGCTACGTTTTCGTTCGATTTGCATGCTGAATGACTGTCAGTTTTGGGTGATTTCTGTTCTCCTTAGTTCGGGTATTTCGAGCTCAGTTTTGTGGCTCGATTTTGCGGCGCGATCTTGTGGCGTTCAATGCTAAACCCTATATTCTTCGTTTCGTGATCAGATTTTGATTTTAAGCTGCTGTTTGGTTGTGGAGATTTTTGGCAGTCCTAAGTTTTGAGGTATGAGTACTTTAGAACCTGTTTTCGTTTATATCGACTTGTATGTTTATGGAATTTAGTTTTAGTACTTTTATCGTGGTTTCCTTTTGGTTTCTATTCGAATTGTTTTGATTTTCTGTCATAAACTACATCTGTTTGTTGTAGTTTTGGTAGAAACTGCATTGCAGTTTCTTGTTTCATAATTCGATTTCAGACTAATATTTGGAAGTCTATTGGAATTTTACAACTGTTCATGTACATTATTTACTGATTTAAATTGTTTTCTGTTTTTGTTTGTTGTTTTGTTTGCATTTTCAAGGCTAATGGAGGTGTGTGTCATTGCCAAGTGCACATATAAGTCGGAAACCATGATGTTTTCAGTTTCATCAGAGTCATCCATGGTTGATATTTTGAAGACTTTGTGTCTAAGGTTTAAGGGTTTGCAGTTGGGTTGTTTTACGTTACGGTATTCGCTGCCCAGTTATCCGAGTTGTTTTCTAGAAACGGATAGCGATTTGGACATGATGAGGACATTTTTGTTTGTATCAAATGAGAAGAGTGTTGATATTTTAGTGAAGGATTTATGCGGAAGCAGTGAATATAGTGGTGATTTTTGTGTAAATAAGGAGTTGATTGCATGTGAAAAGGGCGAGTCGTCGTGTTCTAGTACTGTCGAAGACAGAAATGAATTTTTGGGCAGGTCGAAGAGAGCAAGTGCTAAGCCTTTGTTGTCGAATGAGTGGGAGACATACATACATCATGTAGGGCAGAAGTTTGACGGTGGTGCAGAGGAGTTCCGTTTGAAATTGTGCAAGTACGCTCTTGAAGTAGGATTTAATTTTTTATATGCCGGCAATGACAAGAAGCGGGTGGTTGCTATTTGTTCGAATAAGAAATTGGAGGGTTGTAGCTGGCGTGTTTATGCTTCTCGTTGTGAAGCTACTGGCTGTTTTGTAATTCGGACATTAAATAATGTGCATACATGTGTGGGTCGGATACGGGAATCAAAGAGTAAGATGATGAAGTCTCGTGTGGTGTCCTCCCTCATTGTGGACAGAATTCGTGTAAAACCAGAGCTGAAGCCAGTTGAGATTATACACGAGTTCAAAGATTATTATGGTATAGACATTTCATACTACCATGCATGGTTTGGCAAAGAGTTAGCTAAATTGAACGTTCACGGTGATGAGTCGAAGTCCTTCAACGAGTTAGTGTGGTATGCGGACGCCGTAAAGGAAACTAACCCTGGTTCTCTCTGCACTCTTGAATGTGAAGCTGGAATTAATCGCTTTAGACGGTTTTTTGTGTCGTTTGGCGGTTGCATTGCTGGATTTCAATATTGCATACCCTTGTTGTTCGTTGATGCTACGTTTTTGAAGAGCAAGTACAAGGGGCAGCTTCTCTGTGCTTCCGGAAAGAATGGAAATCAAGGTATGGTTACTGTAATGTATTGCAGATTCCATTTGTTGCAATTTTTTAGCAGAAACTGCATTGCAGTTTCTTGTTTCATAATTCGATTTTCTTAATAATTTTTGTATGTCTGTGGGAATGTTGCAACTGCTCATGAACTTAAATGTGTTTTAAACTTAGTTTTAGTACTTGAATCATGGATTTGCCTTTTGGTTTCCTTTCAAATTTGAGCAGATTTGTTTTCAAAAACTGCACTGCAATTTCCCTTTTTTGCTTATACTTGTGCTTTTGGTTTTGTTTTGCAGGGTTTTATCCTCTAGCTTTTGGAGTTGTTGATTCTGAGACGGAGGAGAATTGGACTTGGTTTCTTCAACATTTGGCTTCTATTTTGCTACCGATGGGGAGAGTGGTGACCTTTTTCTCGGATCGCAATCAAGGTTTGTTAAATGCAATGGGGTTTGTGTTTCCTGGATGGCCTCATTCTTACTGTTACTATCACCTCAAACAGAATTTGATATCGAAGTACCCGAAGTCAGGTTATGGGAAATCGCTCCAAGACCGTGTTATCAATTTATTTAGTAGGTGCGCATATGCTGTTACAGAGGAAGAGTTTACGGTAGCAATGGAGGAGTTGGTGATTGTTGGGAGTTCGAAAGTGAAGACATTTATATCTGATTTGTCTAGAGATCACTATGCGAACGCATATTTCAAAGGAATGCGGTATGGGGAGATGGCAAATAGTTTAGCGGAGTCATTTAATAATTGGGTTGGTGTGTTTCGAGATTTGCCGGTGCTACCTTTGATAAAAGGGATTTCGACAGAAATTGATGGTATTGAATTCTCAACGACTAATTGAAGCGGAGAAGTGGACAACAATTTTGTGTCCGGAGATGGAAACTAGACTGTGGGAAAATGCGGAGGCCGGTAGGACTTGGGTAGTTCGTCGTTCTAGTTTCACTGTTTTTGAAGTATTTGCTGATTATTCTGTGATGGTTGATCTTGAGCAAAGGACTTGTTCTTGCCGTCTTTGGCAAATTGACGGTTTTCCTTGCACGCATGCGGTAGCTGCAATTCTAGCAAAGAAAGATTCAATTTATGATTACGTGGAGTGTTACTATAGGACTGACTTCTTTCGAAAAGCCTATGAGAGTCCTATTTTTCCTATTCCAGATATTGGGAAAGGCTTGGGCAGCAACAGTTTTGCAGCTGGAGTTGTGCTTCCGCCAATTACAAAGAGGCCAGCCGGAAGACCACCAACAAAGAGGATCAAAGCTTTTGGTGAATTTAAAAGGCCATTGAAATGCAGTCGGTGTAGTGTTACTGGGCATAATAGGAAGACTTGCAAGGCTGTGATATGAACATTCCTTCTCAGTTGACGATTGCTTACGTTAGATATGGTTTAGTGAATGTATAGTCAGTTTCTGCATTGCACTTTTTGCAAAACCTGCATTGCAGTTTTAGTTGCTTTTAATTGGCTACACAGCTTCTAATTGGATATTATGATTCTTTTTTGAAGTTAATGAAAATTATACAATTGTTTCATGGGTGGATATTCGTTTTTGACTGCCATTGAATGCTTGTTTTCAGATTTGAGCAGATTTTGTTGCAGAAACTGCACTGCAGTTTCTGTTTATTTGTTGCAGATTTTGAACAGAACTTGTCCCATAATTCAATTTCAGAATACTTTTTGCTAGTCTATGGGAATGTTATAACTGCTCATGGAGTTAAATGTGTTTTGATATTAGTTTTAGTACTTTGATTATGCCTTTACCTTTTGAGCAGCAGTGCAGATTTTGACCAGAAACTGCAGCGCAGTTTCTTGTTCGATAATTCAATTTCAGAATAATTTTTGCAAGTATATTGGAATGTTACAACTGCTGACCTACTTAAATGTGTTTTGATATTAGTTTTAGTACTTTGATTATGCCTTTACCTTTTGAGCAGCAGTGCAGATTTTGACCAGAAACTGCAGCGCAGTTTCTTGTTCGAGACCAGAAACTGCAGTGCAGTTTCTTGTTCGATAATTCAATTTCAGAATAATTTTTGCAAGTATGTTCTCATATACCATAACTAGAAATATTTACAAACATCCACAAGAATTAAGATACATATTGTCTTGAGTTAACGAAAGGCAAATCACTAGAGACGATTAATTACACAGTGTTTGTGGTGTAGGAGTTTTGTGACATATTGTGCTCGATATTCATTCATGAATTTCTTGTCCACACTTTTTGGAATGGGCTGTCCTTGTGCTATTTTATCCATGTAGAACATGACGAACATGCCGCAATCCAACCTGCAAATGAATACGAGATTAGCTTTTGGTTTTGAATGATTTCAAATTGTAATGAATGGTTGAGTAGACACAATTCTTACGAAGATGAATTTTGTTGAGCACATTCTGTGTCATCCTCAAATGGAAACTGATATGGATTTTGCAGAATCCAATTTAGAGTGAGTTCTTCATTTGGGGACAAATCAACCTGTGCAGGTGTAGGGGGCCCTTCTTTTTGCTTCACAAGTTTTGGTATTTTTTTAGTTTCTAAGAACTCTTGTGCTTGTGGTCTGATATATTCTAGCCACCCTTCCACAATATTAACCTGTTTAAAGAAGAAGAAAAAAAGAGAAAAAGAAATGGTAATCAGTGCATTGCATATTATAGTTTTGGCCCGAAATTAAGCAGTACATATAATACAGAAACTGCATTGCAGTTTCTGTTTGTGTTTGTGCTGAGAAATTAAGACAGTTTCATTCCACTTACAAAATTGTGAGCAATGTCAATACACTTTTCTTCTTTTCTAGATCCCAACGATCTAAGTGGATTGTAGTGTCTCCACTTTCGTTCAATTTTGTGAAATGTGAGAAGTGTAAAGTGGAACTCAGAACTTGAAATGATCGGGAAGAAGAGAACATTGCATTTCCCGAGTTTTTCAAGTAAGTGTTCATACAGGGCCCTATGCCAATTTGGTTCTAGAAAGGTTTGCATGTAAGCCTGATATCATTGAATGGCAATTTGTTAGTATATATTTTTCGAAAACTGCAGTGCCGTGTCTGTTTAAACAACTTTGAATTTTCAAAATAATTCTTACCCAAGTCCATGTAGACATGTACTGTGGACTATCTGTCTGCATGGGCCCTATTTTCTCCTCCTCTATTTGGATATAGGCCTCAATAACCTGTTTCAAATTGATTGGAGAAAAATGGAATTATTAACGGGTAATATGCAGTGCAGTGTGTGTTATAGAATTAGTATTTTATACTTACGTTTTGTGACAGTTCCAGGTCCCATACAATATCTTTGATATCATGGTTTGTCACTTTCTCACTATCGAGTCCTGCCCAAAAGTTATCACTGCGGATTCAAATACATGAAATTCACAAGATTAGTTTTAGTTTAATTGTAATTAAAAGATGAAAGAGTTGTTCTTTTGGAATAGAGATATTACCTAGGTTGAGTACTTAAGTAGTATTCTTCAATTCTGTCCCTGTCCTCCTTTGGAATTTTCTGCCAAACCTTCTTTTGACCCCATCCTAGTTTTTTCTTTGTTGGCTTTTTTTGTCCTTCATCTTCATCATTTGATTCTTGCATACCTACAAGTATTGAATCATGAAGGCTCGTTCCTTTTGGGGGATCAGGAATTGGATTTGTGGCATCGGGCTGAGATGCCTCTTGTGTTAACTGCAGATTGAAAGGAAACTAATTAGAAACTCCATTTGATAAAACAGAAACTGCAATGCAGTTTCCGTTTTTGTAAAGCAGCAGAAACTGCAATGCAGTTTCCGTTTCTGTAAAGCAGCAGAAAACAGAAAAGCAGTTTCCGTTTCTGTAAAGCAGCAGAAAACAGAAAAGCAGCAGCTTAATTGCATACCACCTTCTGATTTTGAGGATCCTCTTGTGTTGATTGCTCCTCGGAAGAGATAATCTTGAATTGTGGTAGTTCTTCATCATCCTTTTTTGCCTTCTTTTTTGGTTTCTTATTTTTTTCGTACACATAGCAAGATGCTTGAAGCCTCTTTCTTTCTCTATTCTTCAGCCTTATTACTCTTGAAGGAACATCAGGTGTTGGAGCGTCTTGCTTCTTCTCTTCTTCTTTCTCTTCTTGTTGCTTCTCTTCTTCTTTCTCTTCTTCTTCTTCAATCTCCTTTTTCTTGGCAATCTTCTCCATGTCAATCCGAGTTTCCTTGCCTTCCAATTCTGCAATCCTCCTTTTTAGATTTTCTATTTCCTGAAGCTGAACTGTAGATTCCATTGTCATGGTGGCAGTCACATATTCTTCATTATCTAATTTCTCTACATATGTTGCCAACTTCTCTTCCAGCTCCTTTGATCTCTTTTCTCCCTGGATAAATATATCCCACAATTCCTTCATTTTCTTCTCACTGTCTTCATTTTTTTCATCCTTCCACAGTTGTAATCTTTCTGGGCAAATGAAGCTAGGATCTTGACGTTGGTGATAGTTGATTTGGTCTGTCATGGACTTCACCAAGAGGTCTTGAATTGCAATGCATTTTCCTTGGTCTTCTGCTTCCTCTGCTTCTCTTTGTTGTCCTTCATCTTCTTTTTCTTTTTTCTGCATCTTCTTTTTCTTGTCAAGAGGGTCTCCCTCTTCTCTGGTAGTTTTTCTCTTTTTATATGCTTTCAAAATACCCTGTACAATGAGATTGAATGATTCAAAAACTGCATTGGATAAAATACAAACTGCAATGCAGTTTTGCTTTCACTAAAATGCAAAAAACAGAATATACCAGAAAATATGCATCTACTTGACATGAAATTGAAAGATCAGCATAGCCAAAACAAGAACTACAAAACACAACAGAAACTACATAACAACATGGCGTGAAATGAGCAACATTCAAGAAGCACAGAAACTGCAATGCAGTTTGTGGTTCACTGCAATGCAAAAAACAGCATATACCAGAAAATATGCATCAACTTGACATGAAATTGAAAGATCAGCAAAGCCAAAACAAGAACTACAAAACACAACAGAAACTACATAACAACATGGCGTGAAATGAGCAACATTCAAGAAGCACAGAAACTGCAATGCAGTTTGTGGTTCACTGCAATGCAGTTCACAGAAACTGCAATGCAGTTTCTGGTTCACTCAAATACCTTGTCAACAGTGTCTTCCTCTTCCCTGGTAGTTTTTCGCTTTTTAGGAGTTTTGAAAATACCCTGTACAATGAGAATGATTTAGCATGAATTCACATTCAAGATACATTAAAGTAGAACAACATGCGATAAATTGCATACCTCGATGTCATTCAAGTCCGTTATTTGGTTGAATCTTGTGTGGAGTTCCACAAGACTCCATTTAAGAATGGCAGGAGTTTCTTTCTCTTTGCCCAGGATTGGTTGTATTATGTTTGTCCTCTCACACAGTAGAAACTGCACAGTTCAAAAACAAGATATATCATAAATTAGGTTGGAAACTGCTTAGGATAAAACAGAAACTGCATTGCACTAAAGGGAAACTGCATTGCCTAAAACTCAAAATGCATACCAATATTAGGATAATGCAACCCGAAACAGCTCCTATAGAGCCTTCTCCTCCCTTCTTTGCTTTTGCTTTTGCTTTTGCGACCAAGGATTCATTCATGTAGGCTGAAACAGCACTTGCCCAAGAATAGCTTGAAAGTGTGTCCAGATTCACACAGTGCTCAAATACTTTCCAATGCAAAGTAGACGAAGCGTTGGCAAAAAGGAATGTCATGCATAGGTGAATCAATATTATGCTGACCACCTCCTTGTCGTAGTCAACTTCTTCTTCTTCTTCTTCTTCAGCTTCTTTCTTTTGCTCTGCCTTGGCCTTTTCTTTCTTCGGTTGGTTTGCCAATGAAATTGTCTTCAGTAATTCTGCTTCTACCAGATTTTTTGATGGTTTTCCCTTTTCTCCAAAGTGCCTTATTCTGAAGGTAGAAGTGTACCTATCATTGACAAGTTTGACAGATTTTCCTTCATTTGGCAGTCCTAGAATCTGAGTCACTGCATTGCCTGTGATCTTGAATGCTTCGGTGCCAAATTTGAAGGACTTTGTATCCGGATCAAACTTCTTGAGCAGCTGAACTAAGTCAAGGTCTGACTTATTCATGTTATTCATGTCAATCCTTCGGTTGTAAAACACCTCAATCAAGTTCCAAAATGGGGTGTTCTTGAGAAGCTTCTTCTGCCTTTCATTCAGCTTGTCTTTTACATCCGTAATGATGCTGTTGAAAGCGTTGACATTGCACCGAAATTGGACATAATCTGGGTGCTTTGCTTTCCGATCATAGTTTGGCTTTGGCTTTGGCTTTGATTTACTCTTTTGAGCCATCATTTTGAATCTTCGCTTTGGTTGGTTTTGAGCTTCCTCCTTTTGTGGTGACATTTCTTGTGCCATTTGTGATCTGCAACAAGAAGGGATGAAAATATTATTAGGACAAGTAGAGATAAACTACAAGCAAACAGAAACTGCAATGCAGTTTGTGGTTCACTGCAATGCAGTTTGTCTTTGACTAAAATGCAAAAAACAGCATATACCAGAAAATATGCATCAACTTGACATGAATTTGAAAGATCAGCAAAGCCAAAACAAGAACTACAAAACACAACAGAAACTACATAACAACATGGCGTGAAATGAGCAACATTCAAGAAGCACAGAAACTGCAATGCAGTTTGTGGTTCACTGCAATGCAGTTCACAGAAACTGCAATGCAGTTTGTGGTTCACTGCACTGCAGTTTGTCTTTCACTAAAATGCAAAAAACAGAATATACCAGAAAATATGCATCTACTTGACATGAAATTGAAAGATTAGCATAGCCAAAACAAGAACTACAAAACACAACAGAAACTACATAACAACATGACGTTTCTGTTTAGCAGAAACTACAATGCAGTTTATGTTTAGCAGAAACTACAATGCAGTTTATGTTTTCTTCAGTGCAGAAAACAGTTTTGATGCTCTTTTGTGATTTTTCGGTTTCTAGAGGTTTTCAAACCAAAACTAAACCCAAAACCTAAACTACATTGCAGAATGACAGTAAGTAAAATTTCAGAACCCTAAAATCAAAGGCAAATTTGTGTTAGGGGTCATTTTCTTACGATTTTTTCCCCAAGAGAGTACTAAACCCTTCAATCGTCGTTGTTGCTGGTCGTCGCTTCTGGTCGTCGCTTGTCGCTCGTCGCTCGTCGCCGTTTCAGATTTTGGGGGAATAGGTTGGAACTGCTGAAAGAGAGAATGAAGAATCGGCTTCGATCGTTGGTGGTCTTCGATGATGGTCGCACGAATGGGTTGGTGGTCTTCGATGATCGTTGGTGGTCTGGAGGTTTCTGGAGTTGAAGTTGAAGAGGTTTCTGGAGGTGAAGTTGAAACGTCGCGCGAAGGAGTTGTGATTCAATTTTGGTTTCGGTTGATGTCGTTTTGGTTCAGTTTTGGTTTGATGTCGTTTTTCAGTTTTTGTTTAAAACTAAATACTGAAAATGGCATATGTTGTAATTTTCATATTTTGTAATGGTATTTTTGTTACATTTTGGTTTTTTTCCTTTTGCTAATTATACTAAATTGTATTTCCTTCTACTAAATTAGTAAACTATATTATGCTTTAAAACTAAAGCTCCCTAATTTTTAACAGGTAGATCCCTTTGGTTTTCACTCCTTGTTAGGTCGTTTAAAGAAATTTTATGTAATCAAAGGGTCTGTTATCACTACAATCTGTTTTATTTTTATTTTTCAAAGGCCTGGACCAAAACGACGTCGTTTTGGCCAGGTCTTTTAAAAAAAAATTCGGTGCTGCTGGTCCAAAACGACGCCGTTTTGGTGCCAGCGCATTAAAAAAAAATTTCGCTGGGTTCAAAACGACGCCGTTTTGGATCCAGCGGTTTTTTAAAAAAAAACATACCTGCAGCTTCCCTGTTCATCTTCTTCTTCCTCAGATTTGCAGCTCCTCCTTCACCATTCATGGGGTCACACACAGGTTCAAAGGGACCTTCTACCTTACGTTCATGGAGTCCATAGGGTCGTTTGACGCCATTGACCCCACTGTGGGTCCGTCCCTGAAAACAAGTAGTCTGCTGTTGAGATGTACAAAAAATTCATCCAGGGCTTGTGGACGGTCCCTTCTTTCTGCCTGAGAGAGAAGACAGCTACATTTCCATACCAACAGGACAACAGAAACAAGCTGCGAGCGCCTTCCAGCCACCGAGGCCGCTGGAGTTATTGCTGCCTGTAGTGGTTGCAACTGTGATATCATCCTGTTGCTCTTCTTCTTCGTCTGGTAAACATACAAAACGAGAGAAAACCTCCTCTGGAAAACATATATACAAGACAAGTGAAAATTCCAACAAATTAGAGAGGAAACTTGTTTTTGAAATGAATAGGGACTGACCTGTGAATAGGGGACTAACAAAATATAGATTCATTTATTATTATTATTTATTTATTTTATATGAAATAGTTGGAGTAAAATTATGAAATGCATCAATAAAACATCACACCTGTCGTATCTTCTTCATCAGAGTCCCCAAAGCACTTATAGAGTGTTACTGACTCAGAATAAGAATCAATGGCTGTAGTCATATTGTTATTCTCTTGTCGCACCTGCACAAGTAGTTGGAGATGCATTACATATAAAAAGTCATGCTGACATGTGTTATAAACATGTCGTGGAGCCCTCAAGCCGATGATTTTAGAATTTATTAGAGGCAAGCTTTTGGAATTTGGGAGAAAATGAAGACTATGTAGGTGGCTCGATGTAAGGTATGATATGTAAGTCTAATAATACATATAATATGTATTATGTAGTGTGTTAGTTAGGTGGCTTGATATAAGGTATGATGTGTAAGTTTAATAATATCATGGTTGTGAGGATATACATTGGGTTAAAGAGTTGAACAAAAATGCTCCTTAAATATATAGAAAAAAAAAGGTAATTATTTTCAGTCAAAGCACGTGAAATCAAGATGTCTCTTTTCTGGATCTTACTATTCAAACCAAAATTCAGCTGTAGTTAATATGATGGTAATGACAGAGAGATGCGGTGTGGGTGTTGGGTCGGCATGAGCACAATTTTTAACTTGGGTAAACACAAATACGATCAGAAACCGACAAATTCCAATTGGAATAATTTTGAAATTAAAAATGACGTCATAAAGTTGTATGTATTCTCTAATTTCTTACTAGATGATATCATGTTTTTTTTTTGGTCGAAATCAGATGTCATTGAACAACCCAAACGAGAAGGGGCAAAACAGAGACAAAAGCAAAGGAATATAAACTGAGTTAAGTTAGATTCAATGCGCTAAAACCTTTCACAATTTAAAATACCAAACTTAGACCCCTTTACATATTATATCTCCTTCATTTTCACAATTTAAAAAAAATTTCACAAAATATATCAACAGAGCAGATGCAGATGCTAATCTCACAATCTGGGTTGGGCCACTTCAGTTTTCCAGCCCAAAGATATGTTAAAACTGAACAAATGAGGTCAATAAAAATATCTCCGAAGAAGATGCATTTGATGCTACGATGACATTGGATGTATGCAAAAACAAATAGTCTGCTGTTGAGATGTACAAAAAATTCATCCAGGGCTTGTGGACGGTCCCTTCTTTCTGCCTGAGAGAGAAGACAGCTACATTTTCATACCAACAGGACAACAGAAACAAGCTGCGAGCACCTTCCAGCCACGGAGGCCGCCGGAGTTATTGCTGCCTGCAGTGGTTGCAACTGTGATATCATCCTGTTGCTCTTCTTCTTCGTCTGGTAAACATAAAAAAACGAGAGAAAACCTCCTCTGGAAAACATATAAACAAGACAAGTGAAACTCCCAACAAATTAGAGAGAAATAGGGACTGACCTGTGAATAGGGACTAACAAAATATAGATTCATTTATTATTTTGTTTTATATTTGGAAATAGTTGGAGTAAAATTATGAAATGCGTCCATAAAACTTCACACCTATCGTATCTTCTTCATCAGAGTCCCCAAGGCGCATATTATACCATATTTGATGATCATAAGAAGAATCTGTGGAAATCATATTATGATTCTCTTCTTGTTGCACCTGCACAAGTTGGATGCCCAACTCCTTTACCAGAAACCCAGATTTCATAATTACAGAAACAACCACTTCATCACCACTTTGTAACTGATCATCCGCCAAATTCCAGTGGCTTAACCATATCATGTCTTCTCCCTCACCTGGAATACCGTAGAGTAATGGGCAATACCCCCCCCTCAGACCCTTGCTCTTATTTTTAACTATTATTTGTGAGTAATAATTGTGGTGGATAATGGGAGAATCATAGCCACCATTCACATAGACAACAAAGACAATCAAGCCTCGAGTTCTGGGATTATCAAGTAATGGCACAGTAAAAGATATTGAGGACCCTCTTCTTTTATGGCTGAATTGGCCTGGAACCTCATTCCCACCAAAAAATGTGCTGAATGTACCAGGTTGGTACAGTCCCTATATATATGCAACAGAACTGACAATATTAGTAAACTCTTTCCTGTGATCCAATGAGAGAGAGAGAGAGAGAGAGAGAGAGAGAGAGAGAGAGAGAGAGAGAGAGAGAGAGAGAGGCGCACCTGGACGGGAATTGGATCATCCTTTTGTACAGTTTGGTAGGGTGAGTACATCCGAATGGGTGCCATGGATTTCAACGAGTTGCACAATCCCAAGAGGTTGAGCATTTCTACATCTACACTTCCAATGGCTTGTACCTTGAACTTGGACTGCCACTCAACTAGGTTGTAGTTGCGAACTAAATGGGAAATGTGTTCCAGGGATGCAGAGGATTGATACGTTATTTTCTCCAATGATATGCAATGTTCGATATCCAAGTCCTTTAGTTTTGGTAACCTGAGAAGCGATTTGAGACTTGTACACTTGTAAAAAGAGAGATGATGGAGCCTTGTTAATCCTTTGATACAATTTGGCAGGCAACCAATTGAATTATTCCCTAGATTTAGTCTCTGCAATGAGGACAAATGACTAAAATCCATAGGAAAGGCATCATCCGAAAGATTGCACCCCAAAAGACTTAATTCTACTAAAAAGCATGGTAAAGAACCCAAGATACTCGAACTTCTTTCTAGCCATAATTCACTTATCGGAATTCTATCTGCCTCGTGCAGTCTACTAGAACCAATTTCTCTAGATTTGGGCAAAATGAGAAGTCGGTGATTTCTGTAAATGAATGAGAATGGCTGAGATCAAGGATCTTCAATGATGAAAGACGCTGTGGGGGAAAAAATGTACATAAGAAAACAATGTGGGAATTAATTGTTATAGATATATATATATATATATATTTATTTTTTTTACGAAACTAAAAGCCAATTGAAAGTGAAAATTGAAAAGCATAGAGTAACATACTTTTGTTCCTTTGAAGACTTGCCTCAAGCTGCTATATTGCATTTCAAGAACAATCAGGCTCCCCAAAGGAAAATCTGTGGGTATAGAATCCAAAGGAAACTTATTCCAACACAACCATCTTAATCTTGTACAAAATTCTGCATAAGATCCGTCGAGTTGTACATGACTAAGATGGAGTAGTTTTAGTTCATGCATCCTTGCAAATGCATTGGTTTCCAAGACTATCTCCGTTGAGTTTATGTGACTGTTTCTAGGGTGCATGTGCATGTCGGGACAAGGCCTTCAATTGAATCTGTACCCTACAAAAGAAAGGGGAAAAACATTTGAAAAACATTTACAAATGAAAAACATACATGTGTACATATACGAAATTTTTCTTACCTTCTTTTCTATCAAGATACATATTGAAGGAATCCTTATGTTGCCGTACTCGACTACGCTCCCAAGGCTTCTCTGATTCTAGGCGAACGATTTCTCTTCCCATTCCACGGATCGTGTCATGCATATGCACCTTGTCAAATTCATCAATTCTCACCAAACATCTATCGATGAGATTTTGAATGCCAACAATTGTATAGAAATCACATCCATCTAGTATGTTAACAATGTAGTATTTGTCCTTTCCGATAAAGAAACAAGCAATGTGGAGGAATAAATTTCGGTCATGGTCATCTAGCAAAGAGTCATAGCTTACTCTTAGTTTATTTACTATTTGACCATTTGGAATGGCTTCTAACTTCTCCAGTGCACTTTTCCATACATCTATACTATCCCCTAAGTACATAGAAGAACCTAAAACTTTAAGAGCTAATGGAAGTCCTCCGCAATGTCTCACTATTTTTTGCGAATATTCTATGTAACCTTCAATGGGATGGTCCTGACCAAAAGCGTGCCAACTAAAAAGCTCCAATGATTCTTTGTCATGCAAAGTTTCAACTTCATGCATCTTAGAAACTTGATGAGCCCTTAACAATCGTGCATGCCTAGTTGTTATTATTATTTTACTTCCTGGATAAAACTGATCTTTCATCCGAAATACTGCATCTAATTGATCCATATGATCCACATCATCGAGAACAAGGAGAACCTTCTTAGAGCTTATTGCATCTTCAATCTCAGTTAATCCTTCACTAACACTGCTTATTTTCATTTGTCTTTCAAAATATCAGAAAGAAGCTGTGTTTGTAATTGAACTAAGCCATTAGGTTGCTGCGAAACTTCTTTTATGTTTTCAAGGAAGCTCCTTCCTTCAAACCTTCCATAGTCTGAATTATAAACAAACTTTGCAATGGTTGTCTTCCCTATTCCACTCATGCCATAAATTACAAGTATGCCAACATCATCTGATCCATCTTGTAACCATAAATTCAGTTCCTTGATTTGAGAATGCATTCCGATCATGATGTGGGGAACACTTAGGGGTCTACGCCTTAGTTTTTCTCCGATCACTTGAACAATCTTGTTGATAAACTTTGACTCATGTCTGAAAAGTTGCAATCCAAATGAAAAAAGAATTCAAACATCCTTGCAATAGTACAATCCGTCAACTAAGTTGATTTTTCCATCAATTTTTGCACATCTTCTCATTTGAAAAACCCAACTTTCAGATTTGTTTGATTTGCTTAAAATGAGCTTGGGGTTTCTGAAAAAAATTCTTATGGAATTGTAAATTTGTGTTCCATTTTGATTTTCATGGATTAGGCATCAAAACTTTCTTTGGATTTGATGCTTCATGGCTATTTTGTGGTGCTTCGTAACTAAAATCCACGAATGTACACATTTTTTATAATCAATTTGTAATTTTAGTTCAAATTTGAGCTTCCATTTTTCTAATTTTAGTTATCTATCCAGCTAAGCATTTATTGGAAATTTCAGAAATATTATAATTAACACATGATAGAGAAAAATCATATTATAATTATAATTAACACACCCTAATAACCCGTCGGAAGGAATAATACTTTGTTTTAGGAGTGAGTTTGCCAAAAAAAAAGACAAAGACTGTAAATAAAAGAAGTGGTAGGAAAAAGATGGATCAGCTTGATTTTGTAACACCATTCCTGCCAGATCTGCAACCTCTGCAAGTGCCTCCCTCCATTCCTTCACTTTGTTCGACGGTTGGGTTTTTTGGTGTCCAGCAAATGCCTTTGCAAGACTTCCTGTCTGCTTCCGCAAGTTGGATGGATCCACGCCGTAGAAGACAGGTAAAACGACATGGTCAGCTGAGATCCTCTTGCGTTCAAGGATCATGATGAGCTCGTCAAGGCACCATCTGGAGGATGCGTAGTCTTTCGAGAACACAATAACAGAAGTTCTTGAGTGTTTGATTGCTTTCTGCAGTTCGGGCTCGATACCTTCTCCTCTCTCGACTTCATCATCGTCTCGGAAAGTGCGAAATCCTGCGTTGACAAGAGCCGTGTATGGGTGGTCAGTGAAAGTCTTGCGAGTGTCTTGGCCTCTGAAACTCAGGAACACGTGATAACGACAATATCGAGAAGTACTGGAAACAGAGGAGGTTTGTGGATCGGATGCTCTCACAAGTGCCATCAATGATGAGGTGTTGTGAACAAGCAAACTGTCTGATGGGTGGAAATTAAATCTTTTATCAAGTTTTGAGGTTCCTACTTCCTTCTTGGATTGTATAAACAAGCCGCTTGTGAATGACCAAATGAAAGGATCATCCATCCATTGACTTAAAAAGCTATTATTTTGAGTCAAGCAAATGAAATCATTATGTGTTGCCCCTTGAATTGAAAGCATGGCCCCTTGAATTGAAAGGTCAGTAATGGCATGACAAATTCTAGGTACACACCATGCCATTGCCAGGAAACCTCTGCCTATTATCACTTCGATCTTGCTGGATCCAAATTTTTTGCTCCAATAGTTGCGATTTTGAAATTAAAATTAGTTATCATGTTGTATGTATTATTGCTCGATTTGTTCGGGCCTTTAGTTTTCATGTTTGGGCTTTTGGCACCGAGAGAATATTAAATTATGTCTGCAGAGCCTAATGACCCTTCCTTCCCTTCTAATGGTTCCTGAGCTCAATAATTTGGTTGGGTTGAAGAACCAGAAACGAGCTTCTGTAGTAAAGTGGGGATGCATGGTTCCGAGAAGAAGCACTGAAGCAGGGGCAGTCATGGATTTCAAGGCCGGGCTCCTGGAGAACAGAATAAAGGTTCTAAGTGCTAGATATCTTGGTTCACTTCTAGTATTTTTAGTTTTAAATGTAATTTTTATTGTGATTTAAATATCATGTTACAAGAATAATTGGCGGGTTGTATTTATTTTACTATTAGCTTTAATTCGGCTTTGCTACTGTCTGAGTTATCAAGCTTTGTAGAAGTGAATTGACATAAATCAACCAACTGCCCTTGGTTATGTTGGTGGTTGATTGATTGCAAATAAAATCAGATGCAGGATAGGGTAATTATACACAGCTGTCTGGTTTTTGTATCATGCTACGTGCAATTGCATTCAAGGTAACATAAATATAATCACCTCTCTAGGGTAGGTATATGTTACAGTGGTCAAAAGCAAAATATACGCATAGAAACCAAATCAGATTGGGCCATGTTTTGCTTGATCTGAGGGTAGACCAAGATCAGCCCGAATTTTATATCTGGCCTTAAGAAGTCAGCCCCAAATCCGTCCAGCTATATCACATAAAAGCTTAGTCCGATTAAGCCAAACAAATCCGGCTTTTATGTTACCTTAGTCTAATTGACTGTCCTAGTTTGTACTATTTTCACTTTCATTAACTTCATACTGCATGTGTACATTTGTTGATTGTCCTAATATGTTTCCTGTTTTTAAGGTAAATCTGGAAGGGCAAAGCATTTAGAATCATCTGATAACATTGGTGCTGATGGTGATGGAGGATTGGCCACGGATTTCTCAGTTGCTTTCAAGGTACTCGGATCATATTCTAGATATTTTGAGAAGAAGGATCATACTCTACATATGCTCTTGTTGTATTGAACTTGATCTAAACTTGTGTAAAACTGAAGCTATTAAATTTTGAGTTCATGCAATACCTGACTGATCCATTTAGAGCAGAAAAAAAAAACTTGAAATTTTGTTCCCCGTTTTCTTTTCGAATTTCTATCAAATGGTATATTCAAGTATCTTATTATTTTTGTCCTCTAACTCAATACTACAGTGTTTATAATTTTTGTTATTTTTATATTAGGTAGTTGACAGTTAATACCTCAGGATATTATGTTATGAAGCTTCTCTTAATTGTACCAGACAATAGTATTTAAAGTTGGTTGATAATTTAAATTCCACTTTTAGAAGTGAAGTTAATTAGTATGTTTGCTTAAGGGGCCGGCAAAGGACCATGAAATGCATTTGTCTTAAAAATTCTATGGCGACATAATGTATACGCTGAAATGAGATTATACTCGCGGGAAATTCTATTAGCAAAAATTTTATACTTTCATGTTGTATCTTTTAGAAACAAATCAATAGAAAAATGGCAGAGGGAAGACACAAGTGACCACAGGTTCTGCTGCTATTAAAAGCAAGCTGCATGCTTTTAATCAGGTTTGGCCCTATGATTGAACTTTGTAATTAAGCCCCGACCTATGAGTGGACTTATAGCCATGCTTCGCCAGATATTCAACAGGAATGAATTTTCCTTTCCAATTGCAGAATATCAGTGAACAAGTTGCTTCTTATATGAGAGATCCAAGCAGAATGGTTAAGCAGATGCAGATGAGGCGATCGGCAGTTGGTGTATTTGACACTGTAAGATATTAAATCTTCCCTCTAAATTGAGTTCCCAAGGTTGCTTGGGCACACGCTCAGACAGAATTGTGCTTCATTGATAACATCATAATGATAGTTTTTTCTTACTTCTGTGCTTGTGAGGTTTGCTTTAATCTCCTCCTTGATATGTCATGAAAGTTATGTTTCTATTTGCACAAATTGATTAATTTTATTCCTTTACTCTGATAGGAGACACAATGTGAATCTGGTGCACAAGCTGATGGCGACCCTGAACTTTTGGATGACTCCGAGTTTTACCAGCAATTACTGAAAGAATTTTTTGAGACAATTGACCCAGCATCTTCTGGTAAACTTAGTTGATCCTGAACTCTATGTCATAGTTGTTCCACTATTTGGTCAATCACAGAGACAGCCTTTTATTCTCTGAAAAAGTTGCATGCTAAGAAAAGGAAGATTGTTGACAGACGAGCCTCTAAGAGTCGCAAGATAAGGTATCAGTATAGATTCTTTGCTTCCGTATGTGACTGACTGCTATGATGTTGTTTTGGAATTCTTTTGGAGAATCTGTTATTTGGCCAGAATTAATGTTGAAGGTTCCTGCATTAATGAATATGTTTTTGCAGGTATAATGTTCATGAGAAGATCGTAAATTTCATGGCTCCGGAGCCTATGACCCTTCCAACTATGGTTCCTGACCTCAATAATTTGTTTGGGTTGAAGAACCAGAAACGAGCTTCTGTAGTTTAGTGTATAGGCCTTTGGATCCAGGCTCATAAATTTTGTATTTGATTAGATCAGTAGAAAGTCCAATTTTGAAAACCAAGGAACGAGCAAAAATTCAACTGTAATTAAATGAAAACTGCAATGTAGTTTTCGAAAGTCCAATTTTGAGTTCCCTTGCTCTTGGATAGTTCTTTGCTTGCCATTTACCATTAACCTTCATACATAAAATATAATGTCAGAAATTCAACAAGCTCTATTCAGGGGTGTAAATAGACCGTAGCACAGTGACTAGTTCATCCAATATTCTTGGTTTCAACACAAATACTACAACATTGCACACATAAATGTCATAATAAACTCCATTATTTTAGACCTTGTTCACAAGACTTTCTCTAATGGTCAATTTAAATACAAGATAGCAAACTAATTTAGCAAATGCTGCGAAAGCCCAACTAAAATTTCTCAAAGAAATTTATCATCTCTGCCCACAACAGATAATATACAATCTGCTCTATCGAATTTCATCAGTATATCTTTAAAATGCAAAACCCACAATTAGCCTAACTATTTTTCATCAATAGATTGAAACGAGACAGAGAAGAGATAGCAACTCACAAACTAAAAAAGGGGAAAATTCTCACAGAAAAAGGTGATGCGCTTCAAGTCCAAAGCAAGAGCAGCATTAAGTCCTTCAATCAAGGCTTTCAACAGGGCACCATTCTGCCTTCACCGAAGGGTTTGGCGAAGAGTTCGCCAGACTCTTGCCACTCGTCCTATGGAATCTTCATGATCTCCCTCGCGACCTGATCATCGTGAATCCGACGGTTGAGATCCTCTCTGGCTTTCCGCATTTCGGTTTCGCGGTCTTTCAATTCCTGCTCCATTCTTATGAGTTATTCGGACTTGAGGGCGACGTGGGTTGCGGTGTTGAGGATGGTCCGAACGGTGTCATTTGTGGGGGGGTTGGGTAGAGGAGGAAGATGGCTGAGAATTACATCGCAGATCGGTCTCTTGATCTTGGATCGATGATCGCAGATCTGGCTACGTGGTCGTCGTTCCTGCGGAGAGAGAGAGAAAGAGATCTGATCTGATTAATAAATAAATAAATAAAAGGGTAAACCACCGAATATGAGTCAGGTTTTTAAATAAAAAGGGTATAATTATCTTTAAAAAAATTCAATTCTTATGTATCAAAATCAAAACAAAAATACTGTTTGTCTCAAATACTAATTAGTAAATGTTAGAATTGTGGGGGAAAATAAAGTGATTTTATTAGATTGGAGGAGGATAGTACATGGCTTTGTATAAGCCAATTGGCCTTCTTCATAGCTTATTGACTTATTGGCCACTACACTTAATTTAGATTAATTTGGGCTATTTGACCCTTCACTTAGATTAATGAGATTATTAGCTCTCCCTTAATTTGGGAGTTCTCTTTGTTAGACTCCCAACTTCTTCACTTGATTGATTACATTGGAGGGCTTCATGCCTTTTTATAGTTGCTCCTAACCGACAAAGCCCAAGTTCCACCGAGTTGGCTTCTTCATTTCTAGCTTATGTAACTTTCTAGACTTAACTATATTATTCTAATACAATATCTAGTTATTGTAGTCTTGCTCTAGAGAGTTCCTCCATTGATATTTATATTTAGCCATATGTGTCTTGTGTAGCCGACTTTACTCCAGCCACAAGTGTGTGGCTTTCTTCTAGATAATTCTCCAATAGTTTAGGCTCTTCTACCAAGTTAGTCATATTAATGATTCTTCTAGAACCTTTTGGATCTTTTTGTCACAAATGGGCATTAGTATTTTCAACAGTAAAGATAATTATGTCCAATACCTAATTTTTCTTATATAATTACATATGCAAAGGCAAAAGTTTGATGCTAATTAATATGAAGGAAGAAAGCCACTTCTGTCGGGCAATTAACCAGCCGTTGAGTTGAGATGTACAAAAAATTCAGCCCCGGCTTGTGGACTGTCGCTTCTTTCTTTGAGAGAGAGAAGACCGAGTGATTAGTGAAAGAGCGACAAAGAAGCAAGCTGCGGTGATGAGCACCTTCCAGCCACGGAGGCCGCTGAATTTATTGCTGCCTGTGGTTGCTGCAATAGCGTGATCATCCTGCTCTTCTTCTTTGTCTGGAAAACACACAAAATCCCAACAAATTAGAGGAAGCTTGTTTTTCAAATGAATATGGACTGGCATGTGACGAGTGTATATGATCATCCGATCCTAACAACATAGATTTGTGATTCTAATTTAATTTATTAGGGTTCTCATTTTTTATTATTTAGTTTTAGAAATAGTTGGAGTAAGATCAAATAATTTAAGCAACACACCTGCTGTATCTTCATCAGAGTCCTCATCATTGAACAAGTAGTCTCTTGAGAAATTTCGCAAAGGAAAACGTGCACGAAGTTGAATGGTTTTGTGTTGGGTACTTATCATAGTATTATGATTCTCTTCTTGTTCCTGCACAATCTGGATGCCTAACTCCTTCACTCGAAAGCAAGGTTGCGTAACAACTGAAACACCCACTCGATCGCCGCCTTCTAAGTGATCATCCTGAAACTTCCAGTGGCTTAACCATATCATGTCTTCTCCTTCACCTGGAATACCGTAGTGTGTTGGGCCATAGTACCACTTCAGACCCTTGCTCTTATTTCTGACTCTCGCCATCATATCCCCATCATAACCTAGAAAACAAGTCGACCGCTTGCGAGGAAAATCAGAGCCAGAACTCGCATAGACAGCGAAGACGACCAAGGCTTGAATTCTGTGTTTATCAGGTAAAGTCACAGTAAAAGATATTGAGGATCTTCTACTTTTATGGCTGAATCGGCCCGGAACTTCATTCCCAGCAAAAAATGTGCTGAATATACCACGTTGGTACAGTCCCTGTATATATGCAAGTATATGCAATGGAAATGACCCTATTAGTCAACTCTTTCCTTTGATCATATGAGAGAGAGAGAGAGAGAGAGAGAGAGAGAGAGAGAGAGAGAGAGGCGCACCAGGACAGGACTTCGATGAACCACTATTGCACTACAGAATGGCTTTCGAATCCGAATGGGTGCCATGGATTCCAAGTTGCACAAGCCCAAGAGGTTGATCATATCTACATCAACTCTTCCAATGGGTTCTACCTTGAACCTATTCTCCAACTCAAGTAGGTTGCGGTTGTCACCAAAATGGAAACACTTCACGCTTTTTAAGCACTGATATGTTACTTTTTCCAATGATATGCATTTTACCACACTCAATTCGGCTACTTCTGGTAACCCCACAAGGGATTTGAGCCTCCTACAATTGGAAAAAGAGAGTTCATCGAGCCTTGTTAAACCTTGGATGCAATTTGGCAGGCTACAAATTGGATTATTACCTACATTTAGTCTTCGCAATGAAGATAGATTACTAAAATCCCTAGGAAAGGTATCATCCGAAAGATTGCACCCCCAAACACTTAAATTTACTAAAGAGCATGGTAAAGAACTCCAGATACATGAACTTCTTCCTCTCCATAATTGAGTTATTGGGATTTCATCTATCTCAAGCACTTTCAGAGATTCCATGTTCCTTAACATCTCAATTGATAACTCATTAAGATTTGTGCAACCAGATATAATAAGTGTTTCAAGTGATTTTAGCATAAACACTTTCTCTGGAAGCATCCTAAGATTTTTGCAATCCTTCATACTCAAGTACACAAGTCTCTCAAGATTCCCAATGGATCCATTGACATCAACCAGGCCTTCACAATCTACAAGAATCAATTTCTCTAGATTTGGGCAAAATGAGAAGTCGGTGGTTTCTGTAAGTGAATGAGAATGGCTGAGATCAAGGATCTTCAATGAAGAAAGACACTGGGGGAAAAAATGTACAGAAGAAAACAATGTGGGGAGTTAATTGTTGTAGATATATTTTGTTATCAAACTGAAAGCCTAATGAAAATGGAATTAAAATGAAAAGCGTAGAATAACATACTTTTGTTTCTCTGAAGACTTGCTTCAAGCCGCTATATTGCATTTCAAGAACAATCAGGCTCCCCAAAGGAAAATCTGTGGGTATAGAATCCAAAGGAAACTTATTCCAACACAACCATCTTAATCCTGTACAAAATTCTGCATAAGATCCGTCGAGTTGTACATGACTAAGATGGAGTAGTTTTAGTTCATGCATCCTTGTAAATGCATTGGTTTCCAAGACTATCTGCGTTGAGTTTATGTGACTGTTTCTAGGGCGCATGTGCATGTCGAGGACAAGGCCTTCAATTGAATCTGTACCCTACAGAAGAAAGAGGAAAAACATTTGGAAAATATTTACAGATGAAAAACATATGTGTGTGCATATACGACATTTTCTTACATTCTTTTTTGTCAAGATATTGAAAGCATCCTTATGTTGCCACACTCTACTACGCTTCCAAGGCTTCTCTGATTCTAGGCGAACAATTTCTCTTCCCATTCCACAGATCATGTCATGCATCTGCACCTTCTCCCATTTATCAATACTCACCAAACATCTATCGATGAGATTTTGAATGCCAACAATTGTATAGAAATCACATGCATCTAGTATGTTAACAATGTAGTCTTTGTCCTTTCCGATAAAGAAACAAGCAATGTGGAGGAATAAATTTCGGTCATGGTCATCTGGCAAAGAATCATAGCTTACTCTTAGTTTATTTACTATTTCACCATTTGGAATGGCTTCTAACTTCTCCAGTGCACTTTTCCATACATCTATACTATCCTCCGAGTACATAGAAGAACCTAAAACTTTAAGAGCTAATGGAAGTCCTCCACAATGATGCACTATTTTTTTCGAATATTCAATGTAACCTTCAATGGGATGGTCCTGGCCAAAAGCGTGCCAACTAAAGAGCTCCAATGATTCCTTGTAATGCAAAGTTTCAACTTCATGCACCTTAGTAACTTGATGAGCCTTTAACAATCTTGCACGCCTAGTTGTAATTATGATTTTACTTCCTGGACAAAATTGATCTTTCATCCGAAGTACTGCAT